TACATGACATATTTGGATAAACTATAGCTCATTCGAAACTACATTAAAAACAGTCTATAAAACTTGTTCTAAGCGGATTCTACAGTAACCCTATCTATTTGTAAAAATTTTAGAAAAAAATTTTTTGAATATTTTTTGAGACATGGAAGACGCAGAGGGGTGTTTCTCCGCGAATACATGACATATTTGGATATACTATAGCTCATTCGAAACTACATTAAAAACAGTCTATAAAACTTGTTCTAAGCGGATTCTACAGTAACCCTATCTATTTGTAAAAATTTTAGAAAAAAATTTTTTGAATATTTTTTGGGACATGGAAGACTCAGAGGGGTGTTTCTCCGCGAATACATGACATATTTGGATAAACTAAACTCATTCGAAACTACATTAAAAACAGTCTATAAAACTTGTTCTAAGCGGATTCTACAGTAACCCTATCTATTTGTAAAAATTTTAGAAAAAAATTTTTTGAATATTTTTTGGGACATGGAAGACTCAGAGGGGTGTTTCTCCGCGAATACATGACATATTTGGATAAACTATAGCTCATTCGAAACTACATTAAAAACAGTCTATAAAACTTGTTCTAACGGATTCTACAGTAACCCTATCTATTTGTAAAAATTTTAGAAAAAAATTTTTTGAATATTTTTTGGGACATGGAAGACTCAGAGGGGTGTTTCTCCGCGAATACATGACATATTTGGATAAACTATAGCTCATTCGATACTACATTAAAAACAGTCTATAAAACTTGTTCTAAGCGGATTCTACAGTAACCCTATCTATTTGTAAAAATTTTAGAAAAAAATTTTTTGAATATTTTTTGGGACATGGAAGACTCAGAGGGGTGTTTCTTCGCGAATACATGATATATTTGGATAAACTATAGCTCATTCGAAACTACATTAAAAACAGTCTATAAAACTTGTTCTAAGCGGATTCTACAGTAACCCTATCTATTTGTAAAAATTTTAGAAAAAAATTTTTTGAATATTTTTTGGGACATGGAAGACTCAGAGGGGTGTTTCTCCGCGAATACATGACATATTTGGATAAACTAAACTCATTCGAAACTACATTAAAAACAGTCTATAAAACTTGTTCTAAGCGGATTCTACAGTAACCCTATCTATTTGTAAAAATTTTAGAAAAAAATTTTTTGAATATTTTTTGGGACATGGAAGACTCAGAGGGGTGTTTCTCCGCGAATACATGACATATTTGGATAAACTATAGCTCATTCGAAACTACATTAAAAACAGTCTATAAAACTTGTTCTAACGGATTCTACAGTAACCCTATCTATTTGTAAAAATTTTAGAAAAAAATTTTTTGAATATTTTTTGGGACATGGAAGACTCAGAGGGGTGTTTCTCCGCGAATACATGACATATTTGGATAAACTATAGCTCATTCGAAACTACATTAAAAACAGTCTATAAAACTTGTTCTAAGCGGATTCTACAGTAACCCTATCTATTTGTAAAAATTTTAGAAAAAAATTTTTTGAATATTTTTTGGGACATGGAAGACTCAGAGGGGTGTTTCTCCGCGAATACATGACATATTTGGATAAACTATAGCTCATTCGAAACTACATTAAAAACAGTCTATAAAACTTGTTCTAAGCGGATTCTACAGTAACCCTATCTATTTGTAAAAATTTTAGAAAAAAATTTTTTGAATATTTTTTGGGACATGGAAGACGCAGAGGGGTGTTTCTCCGCGAATACATGACATATTTGGATATACTATAGCTCATTCGAAACTACATTAAAAACAGTCTATAAAACTTGTTCTAAGCGGATTCTACAGTAACCCTATCTATTTGTAAAAATTTTAGAAAAAAATTTTTTGAATATTTTTTGGGACATGGAAGACTCAGAGGGGTGTTTCTCCGCGAATACATGACATATTTGGATAAACTAAACTCATTCGAAACTACATTAAAAACAGTCTATAAAACTTGTTCTAAGCGGATTCTACAGTAACCCTATCTATTTGTAAAAATTTTAGAAAAAATTTTTTTGAATATTTTTTGGGAAATGGAAGACTCAGAGGGGTGTTTCTCCGCGAATACATGACATATTTGGATATTCTATAGCTCATTCGAAACTACATTAAAAACAGTCTATAAAACTTGTTCTAAGCGGATTCTACAGTAACCCTATCTATTTGTAAAAATTTTAGAATAAAATTTTTTGAATATTTTTTGGGACATGGAAGACTCAGAGGGGTGTTTCTCCGCGAATACATGACATATTTGGATATTCTATAGCTCATTCGAAACTACATTAAAAACAGTCTATAAAACTTGTTCTAAGCGGATTCTACAGTAACCCTATCTGATTGTGAAAATTTTAGAAAAAATTTTTTTGAATATTTTTTGGGACATGGAAGACTCAGAGGGGTGTTTCTCCGCGAATACATGACATATTTGAATATTCTATAGCTCATTCGAAACTACATTAAAAACAGTCTATAAAACTTGTTCTAAGCGGATTCTACAGTAACCCTATCTGATTGTGAAAATTTTAGAAAAAATTTTTTTGAATATTTTTTGGGACATGGAAGACTCAGAGGGGTGTTTCTCCGCGAATACATGACATATTTGGATATTCTATAGCTCATTCGAAACTACATTAAAAACAGTCTATAAAACTTGTTCTAAGCGGATTCTACAGTAACCCTATCTGATTGTGAAAATTTTAGAAAAAATTTTTTTGAATATTTTTTGGGAAATGGAAGACTCAGAGGGGTGTTTCTCCGCGAATACATGACATATTTGGATATTCTATAGCTCATTCGAAACTACATTAAAAACAGTCTATAAAAATTGTTCTAAGCGGATTCTACAGTAACCCTATCTATTTGTAAAAATTTTAGAAAAAATTTTTTTGAATATTTTTTGGGACATGGAAGACTCAGAGGGGTGTTTCTCCGCGAATACATGACATATTTGGATATTCTATAGCTCATTCGAAACTACATTAAAAACAGTCTATAAAACTTGTTCTAAGCGGATTCTACAGTAACCCTATCTATTTGTAAAAATTTTAGAAAAATTTTTTTTGAAAATATTTTTTGGGACATGGAAGACTCAGAGGGGTGTTTCTCCGCGAATACATGACATATTTGGATATTCTATAGCTCATTCGAAACTACATTAAAAACAGTCTATAAAACTTGTTCTAAGCGGATTCTACAGTAACCCTATCTGATTGTGAAAATTTTAGAAAAAATTTTTTTGAATATTTTTTGGGAAATGGAAGACTCAGAGGGGTGTTTCTCCGCGAATACATGACATATTTGGATATTCTATAGCTCATTCGAAACTACATTAAAAACAGTCTATAAAACTTGTTCTAAGCGGATTCTACAGTAACCCTATCTATTTGTAAAAATTTTAGAATAAAATTTTTTGAATATTTTTTGGGACATGGAAGACTCAGAGGGGTGTTTCTCCGCGAATACATGACATATTTGGATAAACTATAGCTCATTCGATACTACATTAAAAACAGTCTATAAAACTTGTTCTAAGCGGATTCTACAGTAACCCTATCTATTTGTAAAAATTTTAGAAAAAAATTTTTTGAATATTTTTTGGGACATGGAAGACTCAGAGGGGTGTTTCTTCGCGAATACATGATATATTTGGATAAACTATAGCTCATTCGAAACTACATTAAAAACAGTCTATAAAACTTGTTCTAAGCGGATTCTACAGTAACCCTATCTATTTGTAAAAATTTTAGAAAAAAATTTTTTGAATATTTTTTGGGACATGGAAGACTCAGAGGGGTGTTTCTCCGCGAATACATGACATATTTGGATAAACTAAACTCATTCGAAACTACATTAAAAACAGTCTATAAAACTTGTTCTAAGCGGATTCTACAGTAACCCTATCTATTTGTAAAAATTTTAGAAAAAAATTTTTTGAATATTTTTTGGGACATGGAAGACTCAGAGGGGTGTTTCTCCGCGAATACATGACATATTTGGATAAACTATAGCTCATTCGAAACTACATTAAAAACAGTCTATAAAACTTGTTCTAACGGATTCTACAGTAACCCTATCTATTTGTAAAAATTTTAGAAAAAAATTTTTTGAATATTTTTTGGGACATGGAAGACTCAGAGGGGTGTTTCTCCGCGAATACATGACATATTTGGATAAACTATAGCTCATTCGAAACTACATTAAAAACAGTCTATAAAACTTGTTCTAAGCGGATTCTACAGTAACCCTATCTATTTGTAAAAATTTTAGAAAAAAATTTTTTGAATATTTTTTGGGACATGGAAGACTCAGAGGGGTGTTTCTCCGCGAATACATGACATATTTGGATAAACTATAGCTCATTCGAAACTACATTAAAAACAGTCTATAAAACTTGTTCTAAGCGGATTCTACAGTAACCCTATCTATTTGTAAAAATTTTAGAAAAAAATTTTTTGAATATTTTTTGGGACATGGAAGACTCAGAGGGGTGTTTCTCCGCGAATACATGACATATTTGGATAAACTATAGCTCATTCGAAACTACATTAAAAACAGTCTATAAAACTTGTTCTAAGCGGATTCTACAGTAACCCTATCTATTTGTTTAAAGTTCTTTTTGAAGGTACTCTTATTCCAAAATATCTTGATCAATCCTAATCGTGTAACACATCCATGCCGTTATTGTGTTCCCCGTCCAACTTTACCACCACCTAAAAATATCAGTTAACTTCTGAAAATAAAGGATGTAAAGTTGAATTGAATTAAGTTTGTTGAATTGTACCAATTTTAATATTTTGTTGAAAGTAAAATATTATTTGTTTATTTTTCTTTTTTTCATCATTAAATTCCTTCATTTTAATCAGTTTTTTTTTATTTTTCGGTAAAATCTGTCAATAAATTTTTCTCATTTTTAAATTTTTTTCTTTTATTTTCCTTTCATTTTTACAAACATAGAGAGAGAATTTATTTATTTTCAACTAAAAAATGAATTTTTATCGTTATTCCGTCACCGGTTTTGATGACCTCCAATTAATGTTACGTCAATTAGATTCTCGTTTGAAACAGAGTTCGCATCCTGACAGACCTTTACCTTCCCATATTATTTTTGTTTATTTTACTGATTCGAAATTATCTGACGGCTCTAATTGGTGTGAGGACTCTGCTAAGGCAGACCCTATAGTTTGGCTAGCTTTGGATAAATTGGAAGAAAAATTAAAAAATGAGGAGTTAAATAGTTCCAATTCAATTAATAATGTGCCTATACATTGGGTTAATTGTCAAGTTGGTGCTCGTGATTAGTACGTTTTTTAAAAAAGTTTTAAAAATTATTTAGTAAAAAAGTATTAAGTTTTGGGGTTGTTAAAAAATCACTTAAAAATTCATAACTTTATTTAACTCTAGCCTAAAAATCTATTTTAAACTCCATTCGATAGCCCAGCTTTTTCTCTATCTTTTGACTTTAGAACCATTTTTTATCTTAACCTTACTTAAAGTTATAAGCTTTTAGTTTAAACAAACTCAGGTTAAAACAACTTAACTCTCCCCAATCAAAAATTAATAACTTTCAGAATTTTCTTTCAAAAATTTTTATTTATTATAGTTCAGAATTTCTATTTATTTCCATAAGAATTAGAACTTTCCCGATAACAGAAAATTAGAGATTAAATTTTAAACTTCCTACTGCTCCCCAAAAATTAAAAAAAAAAACTATTTTTCTTCAGCTGGTATAATCCAAATAATCCGTTTCGACGTGATCCTCAACTTCGTCTACACCAAATTCCAGCATTATTAGCCATGTTTAAAAAGGGCGGAGAATGGGCAGATTGGGGGAATACTGAAGATGTTAGTCAAATTTATGAAAAAGAGGAATATTTTGGTGATTTAAAAGCTATACAAGTTGTGATTGATGATTTTTTACATTTGGCTAGTAGATTTGCTAATTAATTAATTTAAAAAAATCGAAAAATAAATTTTAAAAATGTTTTAGGCCTCATTTTAAGTCATTTCCACTCTCTGGGTACCATAACCCTCCCAATAGCAACCAACCCTTCCTTCATATTTTCCTTTGATAAAAACGAGCCTTAAGCTAAAACCTTTATTTAAGCATAATACACATAAGCGAGGATTTTCTTTTAAAAATTCCTTTCCTTTGTTAAAAACCAGAAAATTTTATTTTTATTTGAACAAAAATCCGATTAAAGTTTCATTTATTTATTTGGAATAAATTTTAAATAAAACTTGTTTTTTAATAATTTTTTATTATTTTTAAAGCATTTGGAAGGGATTTCTAACATAATTTCACTCCAAAATTCCCCCACAAATTAAAAAAAAATTTTTTTGAATTTTAAATTCCCTCTAAAAATGAATTTTAATTTAATTTTCTTCCTCTCTTTAATTTCCCTATTTTTTAAATTTTCTTTTGCCACTCCCCCACCCAATCCTTTTTTTAATATTAAACAACAACAATTAGTTGAACCCTTTGGGGAGGATAAATTTAACAAGAGTTTGTCTTTAATTAATTTAGAAAATTTTAAAAAATTCCCAGATGAACGTAGTATGCTTCCAGGCATGCAAATGTTGACAGGAACGGCTGCTTTGGTTCATCCTTTTCTTCGGCGAGTATGTTACCCCCCTCCCCCTTACTATAAGTCTCATAAACTAACCTTAACTTTTCGGTAGTTAATGCCCTTTCAAATGAGGTATCACTCGACCCGGTCGGACCATTTTCCCAGGAGGAGATAAGCAAATGGCGGACTCACCCCCCCCCCCTAGTATCCGTCAAAATGACACAAGTGTTGGAACTTCAATTGGAAGTTGGAGGATTTTTATATGAAGGAGGAGGTTACGGTCAAATGAGCCCTAATATACTATTACACACCTCACTATAAAATATGTAATCCTTTCAACTCCACGGTTATAAGCTTATAGCCATATCCACTATATATCATTAACAGACAGACCCAACAACTTCCACCAACTTTATCGGATCAACAGACACTCCAATGGATCTAGAAACTTGGTCAAAGATCCAAGCAATCAAAACAAATCAAGAAAATGCCGTAATTTCTCAACTAGCCCAGATGGCCCCAATAAAAAGGAATTTATTAATTAAAGAATTAAATAATGGAAATTCTACAGCTACAACAGAATTAATTAAAAGAATTATTAAAGATTTAACTGAGAGTCGAGACGGACAAGTTGTTTTTCCCCAGCTTGGTTTAGCTTCTTTAGACAGACAGGTTGAGGCTACTTTGAATGCTGTGGATCAGAATTTGGCTCCTCCTAATCCTTTTACTAGCGGCAATTTTTTTGGAGGTTGGAAGGGTTTTTTAAGAAAATTTAAAAATGTCCAAAGTTCAAAATGTCCAAGCATGAAAATCTTGAGATTTCGAAATGTAAAAGTTGTGGTTGTGGGCTGACGGTTAAATGAACCGGACCCGTTAACCGGTGTTTTTGGCGAATTAACCGGTAAACCGAAGGTGCCGGTTAACAACCGGTTGCCATCAACACTAATAAAACGTCCAAATCAAAATGCCAAAAAATCCCCCAAATTTTCAGTCTCTCCAACCACCCCACAGCCTAATCCTTTTAATCAAATGATGTTTGTAAATAATAACGAATTTTCTAACATTCCAACCCCCTTACAATTTAATCCAATAAATTCACAACATCGTCGGCAACAACAATTTGCTTCTCCAACAACATTTCCTTTAAAATATTTAAATAAAAATTATCAAAATTATTCGTCCTATTTTATTCCTTATTTGAATGGAGAAACTAAAGGTAAAATTACTGTATTTAAAAATGTCAACTAACTAAAAATATGCCAAAATGTCAACTAGGAAAAAATATATCAAAATGTCAACTACCCAAAAATATGCCAAAATGTCACTTCCTTAAAAATTTCAAAATGTCAATTACCCAAAAACATGTCAAAATGTCAACTAATAAAAAATCATATTTTTTAACAGGCTTTATTCCTCGCAGTGAAAACTCTTCACCGTTTTATACATTTTCTTCTCCTCCAGCAACCCCAACTCCTCTTTCATCAACTTTGGAATTAAATAAAAATAATGGTCAACAGCCAAATTTGAATTTATCTAGGCCTTTGAATAATAATTTTAAAAATAAAAATAATTCAATAATTACTCCTTTTTCTTCATTTCAAAATAAAAATAATGGGAATTTTACAAATAAATTGTTTTAATTAATTTTTTGATAAAATAAATATTTAATTTTTAAATTTATTTGTTTTTAATTAAAATTTAAACGATAAGAGTTAATTTTTATTTTTTTGGGAAGATAAAAACTTTGACATATTAATTTAATGATCGTATAGCTTTACAACAGCCCTTAGACAAATAATTAGTCGACCCCATGGCGGGACGCAACTTGGTTCAGGGGAAAAGAAAGGCGGTTTTGGCGGAAGTCGGAAGGCGATTGGAAAAGTCTTTTATCTTAAAGATCTTTATGTCCTAAAAATTAAATTAGGTAAATTATTCAAATAAAAAATCTAAAAGGAATAAGGGTCACCTTCTTATTTCCCACTTTCCTCCTCTTTACCTATTCATTTGATTTTTTTAAATGTTAAAAAAAATCTTTTATTTAAATGTCATCATTTTTTGTTTATCTATCGCTTCTATTCATCAACCAAACCGATCATCGGCCATTCTAAAAAAAATTTATTTATTTGGCTTCGCTTCTCTTCCCCTTTAGTGCCCTTTATTCTTCCCTATTGCCAGACGCTTACAACAACATTTTTTTGCCATTTTGTGCCAATCATTTGTTTAAAAATAAATTTACATAAAAATTTATTTAAAATATAGTTGTGATTTTAAGAATATCTTGATTCTACTTACACCCTTTGCATCTTCTTCTTATCCCCCCCCCCTCCTTTTTTGTGACTTTGATATTAAAATGAAGGGATATTTAGAAAAATATTTCCAAAAAAGTTTTGTTTATCAGGATTGGTATACATAGGTAACTTTGTCTTCTTTAAAAATATTTTTTAAAGTTACCATGTGAACCCATTCTGATTTTATAAAACTTTTAATTAATTTAAAAAATAATTTTAAAAAATATTATTTTTAAATTCCTTTAAAACAGGTAAACTTTCTTAAGGCTTTAAAATAATTTATATAAATTCAAAAATATGAGACAGAAAATCGGTAAATTTAAAATAATTATCAATTAGATACAGACAGACCTCACCATAAGAAACCCTTAGGGTCAGAAAAAAGTATCCTATAATGAGGAGAATTTTAAATCGGAGGTATTGTGTCTCTTAAATCCAGTATTAAGGATCTTAAAATGAGGGTATTTTAAATTGAAGGGTATCGCTTATACACCTCCCCCCCCCCTCCAATGGCTAATAATAAACCTAAAGATCGTCTCCTAAATAAAGGGATTTCCAGTATCGGGAGCATCTTATAAATGAGGTCCATAAATAAGAAATTAAATTTTAAAAAATTTTAAAGCTAATTAAAAACTTTCTCAAAAATTTCAATTAAAATTTCCATTCACTTTTTGCTTCAACAACGTATTACTAAACGATTTTGGCCTTTCTTTTCTACACGTTTCTTCATTCTCTTCCCTATTATTATTTAATTCTCCATTAACACAACTACTTAAACGTCTATTATTTTTAGGTGTCATTTGTTGTTGTTGTACCAACAATAAATGTGTTTGGGGTAATAAACGTGAACGAATTGAGAAATTCTTCGGATTATTTGAACTTAATTCTCTTCCAATTTTTGTTGTATTATTTAAAATTAAGGCGTTATTAGACCCATTCCATCCTGGACACAAAATTCTTTTCCAAGCTATTAAAACTGTTCGTCGAAAATTTGCTGAAGAAAATGCGTAGACAATTACATCACAGGAAAAATTGACATAATATAAATAATGGGCAAAATTGTATAGGGAGGCTAGCAAGGGATTTGATGCCAAACTTCCACTGCTTCCTTGAAAGGCGTCAGAATTGAATAAATTTAGAGCAATCTAAAAATAAAGAAAAAGTTATTTTAATAAAAACTATTGTATTAAAGTCAGATCTCGATATAAGACACTCCCAATATATGCTACCTACTAGTAGCCACCTCCCAATATAAGGTACACCTTTATTTAAGGTACATCTGATTAGATATTAGGTGGATAAACCTGCCTAAGCAATACCCTCCATATAAGATACCCACTATATTAAATATACCCTGTATTAGCTAAACCTCTATTTAAGGCCCATTCTGTTTAAGTTACATTTGGCTAGCTATTGGGTGGGGAAAGCTGCCTAAGCGATATATCTTATGACAAGATCCGACCGTGTATTTAAATAATTTACCGTGTCAATAAGTCGAATTAAATAAAAAGGAGTATTTAATAATATATAAACAACAGGAACTACAAGAAGTATACGAGTGCCAGCAGAAGATGCTGAAGAGGCTAGTGATCCACCTTTAAATTAAAAATTAAATAAAGATTTGTAAGGATTTTAACAGTTTTTTGGTCATAATTTTTGAATGGTTCAGGGTAAAACTTTAATTTAAATAAATTTTTGTAGCTAAGAATCTCCTCTATCTAATGATATAAAAATCAAATTTTTATCCTCAAGTAGCCCGGAGTTATAATAATTTAAAGACTCCAGGTTCAAATGTAGGGAATAACGAATAACGCTTAAATAAAAATTCAGAACTTGGCCAGAATTTTAGTTAAAAATTATTTTTCTGGTTTTTATAAATCAGAATCATCCCTCTAATTTTTAAAGACAAAAATTTTTTATATATTAAGTAAAATAATTTATTTTTTATTCACCTCCAGCAGTTCTCGTCGACGCCCCTAAAGGCATAGACAATTTTTGCGATGCCGAATTTTTTCTAGGTGTTGTTATTATTGTTGTAGATCCAACAGAACTTTTAGCCGAAGATGTTGTTAAACTTTTCTTTTTCTTTAATGAAGACAAACTTGCTGGGCGATTATTTGTAAATGTTCGACGTTTAATTGATGATTGGGGTGGAGGAGATGAATTATAAAATGAACGATCTGCTTTACGCACTTTTGAAGCAATTATTAAATTTAAAGCAACAACGATACAACAAGGAAGGCAATAACATAAAAGGACGTCCAAAAGTTCGGCAATCATCTATAAATTAAAAAAATATATTTTTAATTTTTAAGACGTGGTCAGGCGGTAAATGTTCAACCCCTACCCTATTCAGTGGAAAATCAAATTTTAAAAACGTCTCTTAAATAACGAAGCATCTATTATTGGGTGGTTTATTGGGTGCGTTTTCCCTCTCTCTCACTCATTTTTAAAAATTATTATATCCCTTTAATCTACCTGTAATTCCCCATTTTTAACTTCACATTTTCTAACAAGCCTTGTAGAATCGTCTGGAGGTGAAAGAGAAAAGAATTGAACCAAATTGAGTAGAAAGGGTAAAGGAAGCCAACAACACATTGTCTATAAAAAATAGTTATTTTTAACTTTAAGTTAATTTTTTGGTTCTATTTATGGTCTTATTTCTGGTTACTTAAAGGTGTTCGTTAATTAAATTCATTTTTTTCTATTTATAACACAATTATCCACACTTTATCCATATTTTTCAAATAAATTTTAGTGTTTTTCGAGCTTTCGGCATTTTGTCAAATTTTTTGGCATTCTGTATTTTTAACTTTAAAAAAATTCCCCCTTTACCTTCCACCGACTAATATGTCCATATTGTACATGTTTTAAAGGATGAGCAATAGCCAAATAACGTTCCAAAGTCAATGCAGCAATAGACCAACTACTTACATATGAACTAGTCATTAATACATATTCAACTAGAACACAAGGCAAAAAGTCTGTATAATCAACCTGCAAAATTTTTTAAAAAATTTTTTAAAAAATTTTTTAAAAATTCCCAAAATTTACCTTAAATAAAACCATAATAATTCCAATTAAAAAAACAGAATCAGCAATAGTCAAAACAATTAAATATTGATTTGCTGGCATCTTAAAAAATTTTTAAAATTTTTTTAATTGAAAATTTTTCAATTTATTTTACTTTTCTAAGTCTTGAATGAAATATAGCTACAAGAGAGATTATGTTGCCACATAGGCCAAAAAGGACAATAAATGGCAAAACAAATAAATATTCATGGCCACCAGATTCTTCTAAAATTAAAAAATTTTAAAATTTTTTTAAATTTTTTAAAAAATTTTTTAAAAATTTTTTAAATTTCAAAATGTCCAGAAACGAAAAAAATTTAAATTAAAAAAATCACCTTCAGAAGATATTTCCTCATTATTCGAATTATTTTCCATTAAATTTGTAAAAGAATTATTAAGATGACTAGCAGAAGAATTAGTCGTTTGGATGAGCATTTTAATTTAATTTTTAGGAAATATTCTAAAATAAATTTGTTTAAAAAATTTGCTTAATATATATTTTTTTAATATTTTAATTTTCGTAAAAAATTTTTTTGAGAGTTAAAAAAATCAAATATGTATAAAGAAGGGGATGTTAAAAAAATTTTTTATAATTGAAATGGTCAAATAATTGGGGAGGGGATGTTAAAATAATTAAAGGTTATTAAGTAAAGTAAAGTACAGTCTCGAAATTCCAAAATTAACCATAAATTAGTTATTTATTAAATTTAATTATTTTTTTAGTCTGTCTAGTTAAAATACCCAAAATTAAATTAATTTAAAAAAATTAAATAAAAAATTTTCCCTTTTTAACAGCTTTTTAAAACCACCCTATTTTCGTAGCATTAACAAAGCTGTTACGTAAATTTTTGGTTAAATTTGGAATTTTTTATTAAAAAAAACTTTTTTAAATAAAAGATTATATTAATTCCGGTAATTAACTAATTGTTTTAAATAAAACAAAAAAATATTTATATAATTTAATAAAAATAAAATTAGCATGACATACATAATCTCTTATTAAGCTTAAAAATACAAAGAAAAAAGGCCGAACCTTTAATAAAAAAAATTATT